TGCTACCATACCCGGCTGATTTTTTGATTTATTGTAGAGATGAGGTCTCACTGCCCAGGCGGGTCTCAAACCCGCGGGTTCAGGCAATCCACTCACCTCAGCCTCCCAAAGGCACGGGATTACAGGCTGAGCCACCGAGCCCGGCTTGTATATCTTCTTTTGAGAAGTGTCTATTCATGTCTTTTGCCCACTTTTTAATGGGGCTGTTTTTTTCCTTTTGGTGCATTTGAGTTCCTTGTAGATCCTAGATGTTAGACTTTTATCAGATATATAGTTGGCAAATATTTTTTCCCATTCTATGGGCTGTCTCCTTGCTCTCTTGATGATTTCTTTTGCTTTGCAGAAGCTCGTTAGTTTATGAGGTCCCACTTGTCTATCTTATTTCTTAAGGTATGGGCATTTAGGGTTCTGAATAGGAATTGGTTGCCAGTTCCAATTTCCGTAAGGGTGTATCCTGCGTTTTCTAAGATTCTTATAGTCTGAGGTTTTACATTTAGGTCTTTGATCCATTTAGAGCGGTGCCTTATACGATCAGAGAAACTTCTCTAGTAACGAACTATAGAAATTATTCCTGAAAGTATAGTTTTGTCTCAAGTAACTCTTGCGCTCTTTTCTTTTTTCATCCATTTTTCTCTCATTATTTTTTGTATTTTAAATGGATCCACCTTCCAGTTTCAATTCATTTTTCACTATGTCTAATCTGCTTTTCTAACTCTGTTTTTTTTTTTGGGTTGGAGTCTCACTCTGTTGTCCAGACTGGAGTGCAGTGGCCACTCCTGGCCACCGCAGCCTCTACTGCTGGGCTCCGGCGATCCCTTCCGCCTCAGCCTTCCGAGTAGCCGGAATTACAGGCACGCGCTACCATGCCCAGCTGATTTTTTGATTTATTGTAGAGATGAGGTATCGCCAAATTGCCCAGGTGGGTCTTGAACCCGCGGGCTCAGGCAATCCACTCACCTCAGCCTCCCAAAGGTGTGGGATTATAGGCTGAGCCACCGAGCCCGGCGCTGTTTTAAAAAAATTAATTTCAGTTATTTAAATTTTCAGGTCTAGAAGTTTATTTTTGTAATTTTTTATTGATCCCAGCTCTTTACAAAGTTTTCCTTTTTTTTTTTAATCTTTTCTTTTTGGAGCATATATACATTAGTTTTAAGTCTCTGATTACTTTCAGAATCTGGAAAAGTGATAGATGTGTTTCTCTTCATTTATTATCTTGGTCTTGTATCTTGGTATGCCTGATCATTGAATGCCATAATGAAACGTTACAGAGACACTGGATGATGTTTTTCCTTACAAAGATTTGTTTTTCTTCTTGTAGTTAAGACATGTGGACAGATCACCTTGGTTCTATCAGGCATTTGGGATATTTTGAGGCTGTTTTCAGACTTTACTTGACTGATCTATTTCCTGTAGGGCAGAAATTCTCAAACATTTTGGTCTCAGGATCTCCCTACATATAAACCTTCAAGTTACCAACTTTAATGATGCACATCTGTTTTTTATATATTATTTCTCTCCACCAGGTGTCAGTATAGCTTGTTAAATACATACAGTACTATATAGCTGATTGTGTTAGTTGGGTACCTAAACTGACTTTGTTGGACTTACAACAAATTGGACTTAACAAACATGTTCTCAGGCTGGGCATGGTGACCCATGCACATAGTCCCAACACTTTGGGAGGTGGAGGCGAGAGGATTGCCTGAGCCCAGGGATTTGAGACCAGCCTGGGCAACTTGGCGAGACCGTTTCTCTACAATAAATCAAAAAAGTAGCCAGGCATGGTGGCACATGCCTATAGTTCCAACTATTTGGAAGGCTGAGGCAGAAGGACTCCTGAGCCCAGCAGGTTGAGTCTGCAGTGGCCATGAGCATGCCATTGCATTCCAGCCTGGGTGAGAGTGAGACTCCAACTAAAAAAAAAACAAATACAAAAAAACCAAAAACAAGCTCTCAGAACAGAACTCATTTGTTAGTTGGGGCTTCTGTACAGTCTTAAAAATTGAGGACCCTTAAGTGTTGTGTGTGTGTGTATTTTTTTTTTTTTTTTTAAGAAAGAATTTATTGAGAGGACAGAAAAGCTCCCACAGTGGAAGGGAACCCAAGAAGGTTGTCCTATGTGTGTTATGTCTACTGATATATTGTCTATATCTAGTAGCAGAAAAAATCAAAGGCTAAGAAATTTAAAAGCAATTCATTTAAAAGTAACAATAGGTTGGGCTTGGTGGCTCACACCTGTAATTCCAGCACTTTGGGAGGCCTGGGTGAGTGGATTGCCTGAGCCCACGGGTTCAAGACCAGCCCAGGCAACTTGGTGAGACCTTGTCTCTACAGTATATAAAAAATTAGCCGGGCATAGTAGTGTGTGCCTGTAGTTCTGGCTACTTGGAAGGCTGAGATGGAAGGATCACTGGAGCCCAGCATGTCGACGCTGGGGTGGCCATGAGCGTGCCTCCCTTTCCTGCTGTGGCATCATGGCCTCCAGCCTGGGTGACAGAGTGAGACTCCAACTCAAAAAAAAAAAAAAAAAAAGTAACAACAATAAACCTATTACATTCTAACATAAGCAGTGATTATTATGAAAAATAAAAACTATTTTCCAACAATGTTTTTAATGGCAATAGCAGCAGCATTTTTTGATGGGGCATGTTCTGAATAAAATTTTATTTATCTTATTTTTTATTTCAATAGCTTTAGGGGTACAAATAGTTTTTGGTTACACGGTTGCATTATTTAGTGGCAAAAATGTGGGCTTTAAGTGTACTCCAACCTGTACACATTATACCCGATAGGTGATGTTCCATCCCTCAACTACTTCCCACCTTCCCCCTTGAGTCGCCAGTGTCCATTACACCATTCTCCATGTCTTTGCAGATCCTTAGTTTAGCCCCCACTTATAAGTGAGAACATGCAGTTTTTGGTCTTCTGTTGCTATATGTTAGTTCACTTTGCACGACGTTCTCCAATTTCATCCAAGTTGTTGCAAAAGACTTTCTTTCATTTTTTGTGGCTGAATAGTATTCCATAGTGTATATATATACTACATTCCATTATTCACTGATCAGCTGATGGGTATTTTGGTTGATTCAACATCTTTGCAGTTGTGAATTATGCTGCAATGAACATGTGAGTGCCGGTGTCTTTTTTGTATAATGACCTCTGTTTCTTTTGGTAAATACCTAGTAGTGAGATTGGTGGATCAAATGGTAGATCTACTTTTAGTTCTTTGTGAAACCTCCATACTGATGTCCATAGAGGTTGTACTAATTTACACTCCCAGGGAATAGTGGCATTTTAATTGTGCAAATGTCTGGAGTATCACGCTTAATAGAAAACAGCTGGATTCTGATTCTGTATTCAGCCTGTTGTGATATTACTGGGAAGCTTCTTGGTATTATGAAAACAGTGTTGACCTTTTTTTTTTGTTTGTTTGTTTTTTGAAAGTAGGATTTATTAAGAAGACAGAAAAGCTCCCACAGCGGGAGAGGACCTGAAAGAGGTTGCCAATAATGTTGACCTTGAGGGTGACATGGAAGGGACCAACCAGAGTTTGAAAACCACTGCTTTAGGGCACAGCCTTTGGTAGTTTTAATGCAAGCCTGGTGGATCAGTCTCCTGGCCTCCCCAGCATTTGTACGCTGCCCAGCCTCTCCTCACTTGTTGGTCTCTTAAAAGCAGCTTTCTGCTTGGTTCTTGGCCTCTAACCCCCCCTACCCTCCACAGTGTGACCAGCCTCCCTTTCCTGCTGTGGCATCATGGCCTCCCATATCCCGGCTGCCTTGGTAACCCTGGACTCACATTTTGCTTTCCCCACCCAGGAAGGCCACCGAAAGGGCGAGATGGCTGTCTTCTGCCCTCCTCAAGGGGAACAGGTGGAGGCCAGAAAGGGCTCCCCCAACATGTATCTCTTCTCTCTGGGATCTTGGCTCCCCCAAGTCTGCTGTGTTGGCCCCCAGTGTTTCCAGCAACAGGTTTATTTTTTCCTGCGTACTTCACAAGCTCACATAGCTTGTGGCAGGAACGTTGGTCTGATACCACATCCCCACCACTTGCTTTTTTTGTTAACTTGCTTCATGATTTATCTTGCCACTCTCTCCCCATATGTTCATAAAGAGCCTGTTCACTTTCAAGTCTACACAGGGTTAATCAGATGGTCCCCTTGTGTCGCTGCCACAGTCTGGAGTTATACATGTAGGTCTGTATATGTGCAGGTGTATATGGAGGCTACATGCCCAGCAGTGCTACTGCCAAGTCTTTTGTGCAGATGAACACTAGTCATTGTGAGCACTATCACCTAATTGCCTTCCTGGCTTTGTGCCAGTTCACCCTCCCCTTGGTGCATGTCTGAGAAGGGCTGTGGCCAGACCCAGGGATGGGCCAGAGCTCTCCCCTTCTGTGCCGGCCCCTGTGCTACATGCCAGGTCATACCTGTGGTCTTTCTCAGGACACATTTGACATCCGGATCCTGATGGCCAAGTCTGTCAAGTACACAGTGAACTTCTTAGAAGCCAAAGAAGGAGATTTGCACAGGTACCAGTACCCATGCACCATCCTCCTGGGCCTGGCTCAGGCCAAAGGTCAGGGCTACTGTGGCTCCCACCGGTAGGGGAGTTGAGTCTCTGCACCTGGCACCCCCCTTCTCCAGGCAGCTCCCTTTGGCTTCCTCAGCAGCCTCTGCCCTTTGCCTTCCAGGATAGAAATCCCATTCAAATTCCACATGCTGCATTCAGGGCTGGTCCACGGCCTGGCTTTTTGGTTCGACGTTGCTTTCATCGGCTCCATGTGAGTGCAACAGAGCAGACCACGCTGCCCTCCCCAGCCCCCAGACTTGCTGCAGCTGCCCAGGCTGGTAGGGGGGCTAGGAACATGGGACCTGACCCTCCCTGTTCCATTGTCCCTTCCAAAGGGAGTGAGTGTGTCTTGGAGCAAGACTGTTGTGGGTTAAGACACGTGTATGTCTGCCCTGTTCTGAGTGCCTGTCCTCCATGTCCCTTGTTTGTGTCGAGGTGAGTGGTTGTGGATCCTGTGTGTGCACACATGTGTGCCTGGCACTGCTGGGGCAGCCTGGCTTGGCTCCAGGGCCACAGGGTGTACAGGGTGGTGGCTCGAGTGGTGGTGCTGGCCGTCAAGTGCATGCCTGTCCCTGCTTGACAGAATGACTGTGTGGCTGTCTACGGCCCCAACGGAGCCCCTGACCCACTGGTACCAGGTCCGGTGCCTGTTCCAGTCACCACTCTTCGCCAAGGCCGGAGACACGCTCTCAGGGACATGTCTGCTTATTGCCAACAAAAGGTGTGACGTGCTGCCTGGGGTTGGGAAAGGCAGGGGTCTGTCCACCCACCAGCTCACGCTACCCTCCTGTCCTTTTTGCAGACAGAGCTATGACATCAGTATTGTGGCCCAGGTAGACCAGACAGGCTCCAAATCCAGTAACCTCCTGGATCTGAAAAACCCCTTCTTCAGGTAGGCAGGCCCTCAGCCCGCATGGTGGGGTGCCTTGGCCCTGCATCCCTCTTGGCCCTGCCCATGGTTCTGTCTCTGCCACAGATACACAGGCACGACGCCCTCGCCCCCACCTGGCTCCCACTACACATCTCCCTCTGAGAACATGTGGAACACAGGCAGCACCTACAACCTCAGCAGCGGGATGGCCGTGGCTGGTGAGTCGGCCCTGCCCACAGCCCCCAGCTCTTGAGCCTATGCCAGGGACAGGCACAGCTGGCAGCCCTCAGGGGCAGGCCAGGCCTCTGCTCTGTCTTGAGGTAGACCCTGGGCACCCCATGTGGAACACGGGTCAGCCCTGACGTTTCCCCTCTGGGCGCAGGGATGCCTACTGCCTACGACCTGAGCAGTGTTATTGCGGGCGGCTCCAGCGTGGGCCACAACAACCTGATTCCTCTCGGTGAGTGTCCCCAGGGCCCAGGGGAGGGGCAGCACTCAGGACCACACGGGGCCATGGAGGGCCAGAGGCTGGCCAGTGCTTGGTCCTTTTGCCTTTCCTTTTCCTGGGGGCTCTCAGCCGAGGCCCACCATCCTCTCTGCCTTGCTCTGCCACTGCCATGCCTCCCTACGCCCTGGTGTGAACACGAGTGGGCTGGGCGGCTGGGGGCGGTGACGCCGTCTCCCTTCCTTCCTTCCTGTCGCTGCACAGCCAACACGGGGATTGTCAATCACACCCACTCCCGGATGGGCTCCATAATGAGTACAGGGATTGTCCAAGGTAATGGGGTGGCGGGGTGGGTCCCGTGGGGGCCGAGCTTGCATGCTACTGTGGCCATCTGTCTATCTGGCTGCCCGCCTACCCTTTTGCCTGCCGTCTCTTTCTCTATTGGGCCTGGAGGCTGGGGCAGCCCCCCTCACTGCTGACACCCCCTCACAGGGTCCTCTGGCACCCAGGGCGGCGGCGGCAGCGGCTCGAGTGCCCACTATGCAGTCAACAGCCAGTTCACCATGGGCGGCCCTGCCATCTCCATGGCCTCGCCCATGTCCCTCCCGACCAACACCATGCACTACGGGAGCTAGGGCCCGCTGCGGACTGACAGCACCAGGAAACCAAATGACGCCCCCTTGCCCCACCGCTGGGCGCCTGAGCACCCGGCCACAGTCCTCTTTGCTATGGGAACTTGGACACTTTTTTACACGACGTTGCTGCGGCCCCAGCCCCACATCCCAGCCCTGAGCGCGTGTCGCTGCCATATTTTACACAAGATCATGTCGCAGGAGCCCTTGTCCTCCCCCTCCTGCCCCTCCACCCTGACCTGGGCTTGACATCTGCTGTTAACAGGCATTGGGGCCTGCCAGCTGTGCCTGGGTGGGGGAGGGGAGCAGCTGCCACCATGGCCCAGGCTGCCCCACCCCACCTGGTCCCTCAGCACCTGTCCCCTAGCCTGTCTCCGGTGGGAAGGTGGCCTGGCCAGGTGGGGCCTCCCCTTCGATGACCAGGCCTTGGTCACAATGGGTGTGACATGCTGCTTTTTTTAATTTTATTTTTTTACAAAAAGAACCAGTGTCAATCCACAGACTGTCTGAGAAGCCAGGTCTGCCGGGCCGAGCCAGCAGCCCCTCCCCCAGACTCAGAGGCTCAATGGTGAGGGGCGGCCCAGCCGAGGGCTTCAGGGGCCCTCCCCACCAAAGGGTTCACCTCACACTTGAATGTACAACCCACCCCACTGTCGGGAAGGCCTCCGTCCTCGGCCCCTGCCTCTTGCTGCTGTCCTGACCCTGAGCCCCTGCAGGTCCCCCTGACCCCCAACCCAGAGCTAGTACAGGCGGCCACAGGCCCTGGGCCTGGAGGGAAGGTAACCGCTGGCTGCTTGGGGCAGACACAGACACACCTCAAGGATCTGTCACGGAAGGCGTCCTTTTTCCTTGTAGCTAACATTAGGCCTGTGTGTTTCCCCCACACTTGTAGACGCTCCAGTCCCTATGACTATGATGGCATTTTGGTCCCTCCCCAGCCTGGGAAGGGACCTCACAGGGACATCTCCCTCCAAAAGAAAAGAAAGAAAAAATAAACGAGGAAACCTGTTTCAGCACAGGCAGTTTTCTTCTCCTTCTGCTCCTCCATTTCTGACACCCCAAACTCAGACGCTGGAGCTCAGGCTAGGCCCCAACCCGCCCCCTGTGCACCCAGCAAGGATGGGCACAGTGGGGCTGCTCCCCTGGCCCTCCCTCCAGATCTGGGGAGTCTTGTCAGGGAAAGCAGGGGCCCAGCAGGCAGCTGGGAGCGTGGGGCCTGCTCTGTCCCCAAGCTCCCTGCTCGGCCGTACCCCTCCCCCACCACCTTTATATAAATTCTCTGAATCACCTTTGCATAGAAAATAAAAGTGTTTGCTTTGTAAGAAAAGTCTGGAAAGTGGCGGAATGATCATGAGGTGTCGAGGGAGCCTTCAGTCCTCGTCTGAGGGGCAGGACAGTCACAGGTGTCCCCTTAGGTTTTGCCTGAAAGAGAGAAACTCCTAGCAGCGGCCCCAGGACTTCTGGTCTTGTGGGGTGGGGAGAGCACAGCTGGAAATTTTCTCACCTGTGGGGCCAGGGCCTCTCTAGGAGAGGGCCGTGGACAGTGGCAGATTGGGAGGCAGTGGTGCATGTGTGGGCAGAGACACGGTTTGGGGCCCAGGTGCCATGTGCTCTGGAGGCAGCGACTGGAAGAAGTACAACTGCCCGAGACCCCCAGGGTCAGTGGCAGGGCCAGCCCAGCCCAGCCCTGCCCTGCTGTGACCGTCCAGCCAATACCTTGCAGCCCAGGGCCAGGAGGGCATGGAGCAGCACCACGGCCACCAGCAGTGCTGTGGCCACCAGCTTGGTGTCCTCGCGGACGACGGGCCAGAGGGTGAACACCAGCCCAGCAGCCGACAGGGCCAGGGCCAGCGCCCCGAAGATCCACTGCAGCCATGGCACAGGGATGAGCCACAGGACCTGGGGGCGACATGGGTGGCTGGTGGTATGCTGTGTGCTCCCACGGCACCCGCCACCTGCTCTCGCCGGGCCCCACTCACCACCATGGGGATGAAGACGAAGAGGGAGTAGCCATAGATGCACACGGTCTCCAGGAAGGTGTAAGGCCCCATGCGCTCCCGGATGCCCTGGCGCCACCGCAGGAAGCCCCACAGTGCCAGCGGCACCAGCCACGCATAGCAGTAGATGGCGATGCCTGCCACGGTTACTGGGGGCAAGGTGGGCAGTCACTCCCTGTCCCCCAGGGGCCCCCTGGTATCCCAGCTTACCCTGCTCACCCTTGTGGAACTGGGGGCTGTAGTGGATGGAGGGATCCCTCCTCTGGGCCAGCACCAGCGTCAGGTTACCGGTGACAGCCAGGACAAAGGCCAGTGTGGCACAGATCCAGAAGGGGCCTGGGAGTGAGGGGGGGCAGTCAGGGTCCTGGGCCTAGTGCTCTAGGACAGATGATTTCCTCTCCTACCTGTGCTGGGACCATAGCATAGCCTCTTCCTAAGCCACAGGCCCGTCATGCCAAGTACCCAGCTCCTGGTGCTGAATCCAGTGCCAGTTTAGCTCATCATCCCCCTGGAAGTACCTGTCCTATGGCTTCTGTCTCATCCCAGATGGCAACCCCTCCACCTCAGCTGCCTCTGTTTAGCTTCCTGACCTTTCCCACTGTGGAGAGTGACCAGTCCTCAGTCTTCTCTGTGTCTGTGTTCACCAGGCCTGGAGTGACTTTCTCCCATCCTGGGGCCTCCTGGGACCTCTGGAGTTCAGGCCTCTGCTCTGAGCTGCAGGCTCACATCTGAGTTCCCACATGGGGCTACCAGCTCTACCCGCCACCCCTGCTCTCTCCCTGCAGACACCCAGCTCATCCCTCTCACGGTCCAAGCAGGAATCCTGGGCACCATCCTGGCTCTTCTCCTCCCACCATGTCTAGGCCATCAGCACATCTGGCCACTTCTGCCTCCCAGACTCGCTCTAGATCCACATGGTTCTACACTCTCAGCCTCCACCACGGCCGCCTCTCCTAGGTCTCCTGGCTTCCACCCTCGCCCCTCACAGTGGCCAGAGGGACCCTGAGAACACAGAACTGAGATGCCTTCTTGCCACTGCATTGGGAGCCTATGCGACGTGTCCCCTCACTTCTGTGACCTCCAGCAGCTCACCCTGTTCCAGCGATGAGGACACCCCATAGCTCAGGTGAGTTCCCACCACAGAACTTACACCCTTCCTGGAACCCTCTTTCCCTCGGTTTCTACTGCCTCTTTCCATTGCCATCAAGACTCATTCCCTCGCCATCCTCAGAAAGGCTTGCACCCGCACACCCCTGCAAAACAGCAAGGCTGAGCATCCTCCAAACTGCACTGCTGTTCTCTAGCTTGTCATCCTCTGCCATCTGTCACATCTGTGTTCCAAACAGAAGGCACGCCATACTCCCTGAGTGACTGACTTGTCTTCAGCTGTACACCGGGGCTGGCACTCGGTCCTCCCTTGTTGAGGGGACACTTGAGTGACTCAATTGCCAACCTCACTCACCATAGAGATCTGGCCTATTCCGCAGATGGTGCTGCACAAAGTTGTGGCCGGGCCGGGGCAGCAGTGAGCCTTTGATCCGGTCCAGGACCTGGGGGCAAGGCATGGTCAGGGTGGAAGTCCTCCTAGGCTCTTCACTAGATCTGAGAGGCTCCTTCCCTGGGGACCTCCAACCTCCTCTCTCCATGCCCGCCTGAAAGCTCCGCTCTTCTCTGAGCTTTCAGGGGACTGTCCATGGTTTGGAGCCCCTACTGCCATCATCTCCCATGTGCTGTCCCACCACTCCCAAGGGCCTCCTCTGGGCCTGCTTGTCCCCCTCCTCAGCTTAGCTGCCCTGCCCTTGCAGCCTCCCTGTCCAGCCCCAGTAAGAATGGGCAAGTCACTGGGCGTGATGGCTCACGCCTGTAATTCCAGCACTTTGGGAAACTGAGGTGAGAGGACTGCCTGAGCCCAGGGGTTCAAGACCAGCCTGGGAAACTTGGTGAGACCTCGTCTCTACAATAAGTCAAAAAAATTAGCCAGGCGTAGTGGCACATGCCTGTAGTTCCAGCTACTTGGAAGGCTGAGGGAGAAGGATCACCTGAGCCCAGCAGGTTAAAGCTGTGGTGGCTGTGATAGTGTCACTGCACTCCAACCTTGGGCGACAGGGTTAGACACCGACTCAAAAAAAAAAAAAAAAAAAAGGATGGGCAAGTCCTGGGCATTCTCCTTCCTCCATCCCCAATGTATCTATGACTTTGTAACTCTCATGATGACCATCTACCCCCTGGCCTGGGGCCTCTGATCCCATTTTCCACCCTTGCTCTCCTCCTTACGCATTCCACTCACTCTTTTCCTGCTCTAAACCCTTCTCTGACCCCCCATCACCTTCAGGATAAACTCAACCTCCAAGTCCTTAACAGTTTGCAAGGTCCTTCTTGCCTGTCCTCCACCTCACTCTCTCCACCCAAGATTCAGTGACAGGCAGCCTCTGTGGGACTTCATGCTTGCTTTCACCTTTTGGTCACGCTGATCCCTGTGCCTGGAACTTCTGCTGCTCTCCACTTTGCCCCAGGAAAGCCTTGTTTCTCTTTCAGATCTCAGAGAACTCCTCACCTCTTCCAGGAGGTCCTCCCTAACCTTCCAGATTACGTACCTCCCTCGTGTCCCCACAGCCCCTGTCACACAACCCTTAAAGAGCATCAGTTCCTTCTGTCCTGCTGGGCAGGGCTCCGGTTCTGCGCAGCCGCCACCAGCACCCTGCCCATGTAAGTAGTGGCGGAACCCTGATTCCAACCCCTATCCCATCCCGTGGCTTTCCAGTCCTGACCTGTGAGGTGTCCACATCAAAGAAGCTCTGATAGTAGGCAAAGGTCCAGACTCCAGGCTGCTGCTTGTCCTGCAGGAGCTGCAAGTGTGGGCTTTCAGTGCTGCCCTGACAGCCTGGGATAGCAGGGGGCTGGACGGAGGCTGGGCACAGGGATTCCATGGACTCACCGCTGTTTTGTCACTCTCCTCCACCTCGTCCTCTGCACCATAGCCGATATCAGAGCCCACAGTCACAGCCACATGTCCCTGTGGGGTCAGCTGGTCAATTCTGGTGGTGGCTGCATCTGGAGTCTCGGCCAGAAGATTAGTGGCTTCTTCGAATTCTGTAGAGAGTGAATAAGGGATACAGACATATTTTGGGGGCGGAAACAATTTGGCCTCGCCTGCGCATCTGGGGCCATTCCAGAGCCCTACCCGAGGCGGGAACTTTCTCAGTTCGGGGCATGCGAAGGGGTCTGTGGCAGCTCCTAACACGGGACTGGCTTTGGGGCTGGTCCTCGGATCGAGTCCGGGGCTGGAGGCTAGAGGATCAGGTTGGAGGTCCGAGTTCAGGAAAGGAGTGGGGTTCGAGTCAGGGGATCTCACTGCTGGATCGGGGACCACAGCCGCCTGGGGTTCGGGTTAGAGGCGTTGGAAGCTGCGAGAAGTTAAGGCGGCGCGCGGAAGTAGGAGCCCCGGCCAGGGCGGGGCCGCACTCACCGTGGAAGGTCAGCTCGTCGGCCGTTGCCATGGTCGCGCAGGGAAGTCACTGCATCCCTCTGAGGACAGAGGCCGATCAGGCCTACGCGCCTCCCTTAGCCCGAGCCCCACCTGGCGGCTAACTGCACCCACGGGGGCTTGAACTCGCGGTCCCAGCCCCACAGGTGCACTCCGCCCCTCTCACCTGAGGCCACCTCGGCCGGCGTGGCTGGGTCTCTTTGCGCCTGCGCGACCCACGTACCCGCCCAGACTGACCCTGCCTGGATGGGAACATCCGGCGCCGGTTCGTTTTCTAGTTTCCTCCGATGGGAAGCCACTTCCGGCAGGTTTGGCGCGTGCGCAGAAGAGACTCCGGGCAGCTTTTTACCTGGCGTCTGGGAGTTTCTTTCCGGAGGTCTGGTTCCACGCCGGAAGAGGATGGCGACTGCCGCTCTGAAGAGATTCTGGTCCCGAGACCGAGCAGTGGTTGGCGACTCGGCGGTCGCGAAGCCGGGCGTGTGGGTGCGGCTGGGTGAGTAGTGGTGGAAAGCAGCGGGTGGGTGGCCGCCGCGGCCGACCGCTCTCACCGCGCGTCTCTCCCCTCAGGCGCTTGGGCCCGCGCGCTGCTCCGGGACTACGCCGAGGCCTGCGGGGACGCGGCGGCGGCG